TTAATTTTTGTTTAAATTAACAAAAGTTCGTATAATTTTCATTAAATAATTATATATTTGTTATAATTAAACTTTTATAAATGATAAATTATATAAATTATTTATTGAACCTTTCCGCTTAAATTTTTTGTTTTCTCCTTTATAACTTTTTTTCGGTGTTTACAGCCACATGCATTACATAAATAGTTTCCAGTTTCTGAATGACGGCGCCAATATATTGTTTCTGTAACACCACAAATAAAACATATACGATCGTCCTTAAATTACTTAATGAGAAGTACGTTTTTATGTGAAGTTCCATTCAATGCTAATTTTATTGGTTAATGTAAGTAAGCTTAATTTCTGGGTAATATTTGTTTAAATGCCTACACCTTTCTTTACTTCTCATTGTTTTTCCTCTTTCAAGGATATTAAAATTGGTCAAGGTAAAGTCCTTAAATTACTTAATGAGAAGTACGTTTTTATGTGAAGTTCCATTCAATGCTAATTTTATTGGTTAATGTAAGTAAGCTTAATTTCTGGGTAATGTTCGTTTATAACCTACACCTTTCTTTACTTCTCATTGTTACCCCTCTTTCAATAGTATTAAAATTGTTCAAAAGCAAGTAAAGCTAGAAGTACATTATCGTATTTCTTTAATAGAATTTCTTCTAATAGAAAGGCTCTTTGGACTTGCTTGAAAATAGAATGGCCAGCCAATCTATCAGAGGTTATCAAAATTTAAAAATAGCTATATTTGCCTTTGACCAATTTTATTTTTTGGAAAAAGGAGAAAAATGAGATAAAGAAAAATATTATGTATAGGTTTATAAACGCACAGTACCATTTCATGATATCTCTGCAAATCCCGGGTATCTAAATATGTATCTATCAAAAAAATAAAGGAATTTGGCTGCTTCAGGTTAGAATTAAGAATGTTATTATGTATTTTTACGTTTTATATCAAGGGAATCCGATCTTACTGATATCTTTTAATAGCAAACCTATTTTGTCTTACTAAACAAGCTTTTATTTCTATGCTTTCCATATTTTTGAATGTAAGCAACACAAGTATGACACAAATAGTGTTCTCTGAGATATTTATGCCACCAAGATTTAGTTTGTTTAACACCACAATTGAAACAATCTCGCTTCTTCTTTTCAATAGTTACTCCTATTAATTAAAATAAAACGTTATTTACTAGAGATGTTTTAGCTAGATATGGCAACGGGGATATCCTTATCCTGTCAAATATCATAAAATTTTTATTACTTTTTTTTTCCAATGTCAACAATTTTTCTTTTCAATTCTTTCGGATATTCTACTTTCTTTTTTTCTAACAAATTAATTTTATATCCAAATAAATTAATTTCTGTCCTGTAACTTGATAAATGTTCATTTTTGTAATTTTCTATATTTTCTTCAACTGAGTTAAATTCATTTTTATTTTCTAAACTTTCATTCAATCTAGAAGTTTCATAGCAATTATCCTCATAAGTAAAATTATTATGTCGTAGTGCCTAAAATTAAAGGATAAATTAACTGTATAGGTTTTGGATTTTTTCTGTATTTCGATTATTGATGGCTTTTATTTTTTTAATTAGAATTTTTTGAGGTAATTTCGATTTTCAAACTTTTTCAAAGATTTCAACATTTGTCGCCTCTAATTTCATGTCTGCCATGTAACCCCCTAATCCCCTGATATCACTGAGAATCGCTTGATATCTCTATTACATTGTCTAGATAATTTTATATAGATATTATTTTATGATAGATAATAAGGATAGCATAAAATTTTTTAAAATTTTTTACAATATTTTGTGCTTGTAATACTTTATTCTTTACAAGTGAAGTTCTATTAATAAAGCATTAAATACCCGTTTTTCAAATCTAGGTGAAAAATCTCTAATAAATTTATTGTTGGAAATCTCAATCACGATTTTCCTTTTTAATAAAGATTTTGGATCATTTGTCCGGCGAACATTTAGATTGATATTTTTAAAAATATTTTTAGCATGATCCAAGCAAATCAATCGTGCAAATTTCTCCATATTGTAATTAGAGCCTACATATGTATTGTTATGCTTTTCGATTGTTTTCACAACAAAACGCTCCTTCAGTTCAACATCTTTTAAATAAATAAATTCTCTTTTTCCTTCCCAATCATTTTTGATTTTTAGATCAACGCGAATTGGTTTTCCTTGGCAATGAATATTCATTAAGGTAATTAAATATAAAAGATTGATCAAACTAAATTTAATCATCTGAAATAAATGAATATATATTTTAGAGGCAAAAAATTCAATACATATTTTAATTATATGCTTTTTTCTGTAAATAAATATGAATGCATTTTTAAATATTTAATTAAATTCTAAAGTTATTATTAGACTTTTTCGAAATTTCGATTTTTAACTTGGACAATTAGATTTCAACCCAAATATTTCCAAACAGCGTGAAAGAAAATTTTAGGTAAAAATACAAACAAATAAAAAATTATATTGACTAATTATATTAACCGCGGCAATTGACAAAAAGTGCAAATTTTAAAAATGCCCTGAATGAGTAAATAAATTAAGAGAAAAATAAGACGGTAAGTTATGAAATGTATTTATGTTATTTTTTATTTATTTTCTCACTGACTAATTTTTAAATTTGCACTTTGTTAATATAATTAGTAAATAAAATTTTGTAGTTTGGTTAGATTTGTACCCCTTTTTGTCGCTTAGACTTGTTTAAGAAATACTCGAGTCGAAATTTTGATTGCCAATGTCATAAATCGAAATTTCGAACAGATCCTATTAAAATACCATATGTTGAAATTTAAAAAATGAGACTATTTATTTAAAGTGTCTCAACAAAATTAAATCATTATATTTTTTTCATAGATTTTAAACAAGTTTATTCAAATTATTCGAATATTTACTAGCTTTTGACATTTTAAAAGAATTCTATTTAAAAAATTAGTTCATTTGGATTATCGTCGTTAAAATTTAGTTTTATTGATAACTAGTAGAGTTATTTGTTATATTAATATGTATAAACCTTTTATGTCCGAGAGTGTCCTAATATTAAAAACTTGATTAATTTTTTATTAAATTTCTACATTTTTTATATTTTTCTAGTAACTAAGTTTCGGCATTTTCTGTTCAAAAATTGACGAAACGTTATAAGGGTCTCAGATAACAGTATAAACGTTGTACGTTTTTTTCAAAATTACAACCTACAACCTTACATTAACCCTACATTACCCAATCCACTCTACAATAATTTAATCATAGGAAAATTAAAAATATAAATTTATATTGCTTAAACATTGCTCTAATTTAAATAATTCTCAACTGATATAATTAATATAAATAACGAGTGCCAATTGACAAAAGTGCAAATTTCTTAATTCTCCAAGAGACAAATTAAATAATTATAAATATAACTCATAAAAGATAACATAATTTAAGTCTTATCTTTATATTTATTTTTGCCATTTATGGACTTTTTAAATTTGCACTTTTCGTCAAATACCGCGGTTAATATAATTACTTAATGAAATTTTTTATCTGTACGTCGGCTCTGCCTTTAATAGATCTTTTTAAATAATAGGTTCGAAATCATGGTTCATCCAATTCGTAAATCGAAATTTCGGGGAAGCTCTATCGCCTTTAGCATTCAATTCAATATTTCAAATGCATCCCTATTTATTTAAGGGTAAACAAATTATTAAAATATTTATTTAATTTTTGGCCTCTATTTTAAAAGCGCTATTTTATTTAGGATTTTTATCTTTAGTAAAAGGGGATTTTGGATTCCTCTTCGAGGGGGATTTTGGACTTTCCTTCGCTAAGGCGATTTTGAAAAGGAGATTTTGGACTTCCCTTCGCTATACGAGTCTTACAGTGGTCTCCTCCAAAAGCTTTTCTTTTTTCCGACTATAAGATTAAATTGTGAGTGGCTTTATTTCACATAATTTCAGATGATTAAATTTAATTTGATAAGTCTTTTAAATCTAAATATATTAATGAATTTTTATTGCCAAGGAAAACCAATTCGCGTTGATCTAAAAATAAAAGATGATTGGGAAGAAAAAAGAGAATTTATTTATTTAAAAAATGTCGAACTGAAGGAGCGCTTTGTTTTGAAAACAATCGAAAAGCATAATAATGTATATTTCGGACGTAATTACAATACAAAGGGATTTACTCGTTTGGTTGACTTGGATCTTGTTGCAAATATTTTTAAAAATATTGAATTAAATGTTGGACAATCAAATAACCCAAATTATTTATTAAAAAGGAAAATCGTGATAAAAAAAAAGGAAAATCGTGATTCTAGTACTGAAAATTCTAAAGGGTGTAAATACAAAAGAGTACTTGAAATTCTAAACTACTAAAAATTCGAAAATTTTTGTATGTTTTAATACAAGATAGAGTCTAGTTATATATTTAAAATAATTAAGTAGAAAAATGGAATTATAAATACTTTACAAGCCTTAAAACTAAATTCTTTTACAACATAATTAAAACATATTTCAAAAATTCAAAAAAGTTGGAAATGATTTACAATATCAATGAAATATTTTATTAATTAGGTTTACTTAAATGTGGTTTTAACGAGTTTTTTACTACTTTTTCAATAAAAGAATACACAACATGGTGTTTTGTCTTTCGCTTTTTAAAATTTGTTTCGGCACACCCCTGATACACAACATATTTACTTCATCGATTCTGGTTAGTCCAAACAATAGTTGAAACTTGATTTTGATTTTTCTTTGATAAACTAAAAAATTTTCCAAGTAAAATTTTTGTGTCAGTCCGAACAGTTTTGTTTAATGTTAAGTAAATTACTGGTGGGAAACCTTTAAAAAATTTAAAAAATATTTAAATTTGTTTTTTAATCTGGGTGACCCTTTCCAGATCTCCAAAAGGAGCATGTAGAAAAGCGTGAGGGGACTGGCGACAAGTGTCAAACAGGGGAAAACCTCCTTGATAAGGTAAAAGGCTCACCATATTTTAATAACAAAATTCTATTTAATTACTAACATACCATGAATATGTAACCTTAAAATTAAACAAAAATTATATAAAAACAATATAATTCATTTACCAAGAAAAATGTTGTGTCATTATTTGCAAAATTCCAAGATCAGGATGATTCATATTGTAAGCGTAGCAAATACCTGCTGATGTATTTAACATTGAAATGATAAATACTTGAACAAAGACCTTAATGATATTTTAATTTAATATATTATTGAACCCCAAACTTTGATAAAACCCCCTCTATCTATGATCCGATCTGGCTTGGCAATAGATATTGATTTTTGTGTCCGTATCCGAATAGGTATATTCGTGAGGTCGACATCCGTATCCGATTATATCCTTACAACTTTTGAGGCATATCCATCCGTGGGTATCCGCAGATGGCCGAAGCGAAAATTTCTTTCAATTTTCAGCGCCGCAGGCGCCGAAATTTTTTGAATTTTAGAAGATCTTATTCGAAAAAAATTCACTTTCTCTGTTATGGACGGATATCCGAAAAAAATTATGGACGAAAACTCTGACAATATTGAGGATTTAGTTTCTTTGAGTCAGTATCGTTTCTCGCCGAGAAATGGACCGAGAATATCGGTATCGGTTTCGAGTGAAAAAACCGAGACCGATATTGGAAAACCAGCCGAGAATCTCGATATTGGTCTCGTCTTGATCAACTCTATTTAAAAGTGAGGTATAATAAAATTTCAACCATTTTCTCCTCTCTAGAAACACTATTAATTAATTCACGGGATTTGAAGAAAAGACAAAATGAAAAAATCAAATAAATTATTGGAGAAGCAACAGCCAATATTGTGCAGTGTATGGTAAATTCTCTCAAATCTTCTTTGAACTACATATTTATAAATATTTTAAATAAAATCAACTAATAGTATATTACAAATTCAAGTCTGAAATCTCTATATCCAACTAATGGTTCAAATATATAATCAAATGTTATTCCATTAAAAATATAAGAATGTCGAAATAAAAGCCAATAAAGTCCATACAAATTACTTAAAATAATCCAAATATAGACACGATTATTGTGGAAAAGTTTTTTTGAAATTTTTGGAAATGCCATTTCGATACAACGATTTATTCCCAAAATCTGAAAAAATACGTATAATATTAATTCTTAGTTAATTTATAAGACCAAATCAGCACAACATTCAGCAGCCCAAAAATCTAAATATTATAATGTTAATAATTATAATCCCCAGGTCAGAGCCGTCAACTTGCCAAAATTCACGGAAATATCAGCAACAGTAGTTAACACCCCCGCGAGGTCGTCAGGGGCAGCGGGGTCCAACCATTTAGCCCCTCCCCCTTCTTAAACGGTATTTAAATACATCCACTCCGTCGTCAGAGGTTCAAGGAGTTCCCAAAGGGTTTAAGGGGTACTTTGATCAAACCGGTTTGGTGTGAACTTCTTAAAAATAATTACAAAAACACATTACCAAACCATCCCCCTTATTCAACACAAAACATTTAAAAAAGTATCTTTCGAACACTTCTATATTTTCTAACTATCTTTTATTCACTTTTACCCTTAATTTTGAAAAAATACAAAAATTATTAAAAATAGAAATTATTACAAAAAAAGCAGTCATGCGAAAATTGTTGCAAAAATTATTGTTGAAAATAATAATTATTATTGAATAGGTCATGCAAAAATTATTTTGCAAAATTATTGTTAGATAGGGAAAAAGGGTAAAAATTTTTTAAAATAAAATAAAAAGTAGTTAAGCCAACCCCAATGTTGGTTAAAGATATACTAAAGGTTTAAGGGTCTTCAAAAGGTTTAAAAGGTTTGGAGTACTTTGATCAAACGGTTTAGGGGTAAAATTTTAAATAATTAAAAAGTCATTTCCCATAGTTTTTTACACCATTCAAGAGGTTCCCAAAGGGTTCAGTAGGCACTTTTGATCCGGTTCAAAAAGGATACTTTTTAAAATAATTGAAAAAAACACTTCGCCAAACTATTCCCTAGCCTCACACATACTCCCTGATAAAATTGACAACCGACATTTGACAATTGACATTTTGACATATGTCAGTTGACATATGTCATTTTTGACATTGTGATCAATTTTATGAGATAAATCGTACCAAAGTGGTTTCAATCTAAAATCGAGCTCAAAACTCGAGTTCTGGACCTTGGAACACGAAACTTTTGCAAGTATTGGTATATGGGTACTTTTTCTGACCGGCTCGACGAGATGAGTCGTAAGATATCATTCTCAGGAGATTCTGAAAGGAAATGGTATAAAAGACCCCAATTTCACGTAATCTTTAATCAAAATGTTCATATTATTTTTATTATTTCCTCTTTCTTCCTCTTCAAACTTATCTCTAGTTGATGATCCCAGATGGCAAGATATGTGAAACAAGAACCCTGTAGATGCCCAAAATACTTATTGAATCTTCCTTTTAACATTACAGGACCTATACCAGGAAGGTGCGAATGCCCAATACACCTATTAAAAGCATCTAGGGCGAATGCAGAAGACTTTGAATTTTATAGGCTAACACCATTTCGCCACTATGGTATAAAGAGATACAATGATAGTTTACAATTAGACTTGAACCTTAATAAAACTATTGCAACATCCCTTCATGTATTAAATTACTCTACCAGTTTTAATTATCTAATATATTCAAAGTGGTGGTTTATTCCGTACTTGTTTAGTTTTGTATAGAGAAATTTATTTTACTTCACGTCAAATATTCCCAAGTTAGTATAAACGGAGACATAAGGCCGAGAAATGGATTTAAAAATGAAGTACCCTAAAATATTACCTGAAGTTGAATTTAATATTTCATCTACTGGGATTACAATTTCCAGTATCCGTTATACAACTCCCCGTTTTATTCCTTATGACCAAGGCGGGAAGTGTCGTAAGTGTAAGAGCACAGAAGTTGAACTAGATTTTATAATAGTAAAGGAAGGAGTGGTAGTCTATTGCACACGATTTGAAGGAAGTAGATTTGTTCCTTTTGATTTATTATATGATTTACCAGGGCATTGCTTCTTCAAAGTAAAGAATAAAGGTCGAGTTTTTAATGTACCATACAATGCTTCTACAGAGATTCCCAAAACTGAACCAATTGAACCACAAATTCTCCCCACAATTCCTGAAGAAGTGACACAGACACCCCAACCCTTGGATACACTTCCTTCAAAAGAGGAGTTGGATGATTTCTTTCAGAGTTTAGATGCAACGGTGACAGGAATTCCAACCGATTAAAAAGATATTTAAGTGAAATTTTCTTATATTCATAAATTATTCATAATGAATTCCTTAGCTTTCTCGAATAAAGATTTAAAATTTAAATTACCTTTTGGAATGATTATATCTGGTCCTAGTTCAAGTGGAAAGAGTACCTTATTATTAAAACTTATTTCGGAGGCTTCAGATCTAATTGAACCTAAACCAAAGTCCATACTTTATTGTTTTGGTGAGATGAACAATATTGTACCTCTTTTGCAAAAATCTGGAGTTGATGTATTTGCAGGAGTTCCACCTGAGGATTTGATTAAGAAATATCCGAAGCCACTATTACTAATTCTTGATGATCTAATTCTTTCTGTTGACGAAAAATATTTATCCGAATTATTCACCAAAAAATCACATCATCAAAATTTTTCTGTAATTTTTGTCACACAAAATTTATTCGATAAGAAGATTAAAGTAGCACGACAAAATTCTCAATATCTTGTGTTGATGAGATCACCAAATTCTATGCTATCTATCAGAAACATAGGTGTACAATTATTTCCCAGACAATTGGATTATTTTCTTGATTCCTATCGACAGGCAACCAAACAACCTTTTGGCTACTTACTCGTCGATATGCATGCTTCTTCGGATCCTACCCTCCGTCTTAGGACCAACATATTTAAGGAAGACGATGAAAAGATAATTTTTATTCCTATAAACGGAAATGGTTAAACAATTAATTCATGAAAACTTAAAATTTTTACATTTATTGTCAAAAACTAAATCTAAAAGAAAAAGGAAAAGGCTTTTAAAATTATCAAATAATGAACAACTTTTAGCTTTAGCTGAAATTTGTTTGAATATAGTAAAAGAGAGGTTCAAACTTACAACTCGCCAAAAGAAAAGATTATTACCTCATGCCGAATTTGTGCGAAGTATGAGTAGGGTTAGGAGTGAACGAGGAGCAAGACATGTTATTAATCAAAAAGGTGACGGAGTAGGAGTTTTTGCTGCTCTTTTGACACCCGTGCTCATCGAAATGGCAAAGATGATGACTATAAAAGCCCCTGCTACATCTTAATATAAAATTAATTATGGCAAATAAATTTATTTTAGTTCCAGAAGAAATTTACAAGGGTTTAACAACCTATGATACAGGTGAACCAAACTTGGATTTTGTACGTCAAGGTCTTGAGAAAACAAAATTGAAAAGAGAAACACCTAGTGCAAAAAATGTGCACTATAATCAAGAACTTAGACGATATCTGCAATTACGAAACGAACAGCAAAATAGACCAGTTAAGGTAGAGATGGTTGCTAGTCCAAAAGGTGCAATTATGAATACTACCGCTTCTCTTCCAGCTTCAAATATTGGGGAAGACGACGATAATTTGTGGATGAGTGAAGATATGTCATTTAGTTCATATCCAAAAGAAACACTATCTTATAATATTATACCACCTATCCTACCTGACATTAAACCTACAATTACATTGAAACCTAAGAAACCAACTATGCCTACCTATTACAAACCCTCTAAAAGAAAGCGAGTCGAAGATATGGGAAGTGACAAAAGAAGACATTTAATAGATGAAAGTTATGAAACTAAACCTATTAAAAAAGAAATCATCGATGATGGGGAGGACTATAGAAAAAAAGAAAAGAAAAGACAATATCTAGAAAGGAAAAAGGCTATCAGGGAGCAAAAGATACCTTACACCCCGCAATACTATAAAGAGGTCACACCACCGCCAAATCCCAAAGGTACAAAAAGGTCGCAATCTATTAATATCGAAGAAGGTAAAAGAAAGAAAATTGATGAGTTGGAGAGGAAAAAAGCAGAATTAAGAAGAATAAAAGATGATCAACGTCTGGAAAATATTAGGAAGAAACAAAAAGAAAGGGAATTAAAAAGAAGGGATATAAGAAAACTAAAAATCC